TGTTATCAAACATGCTGAAATGAAAAAAATACTTAATCCAATAATTTTAAGCATTAAGTTACTTTATCAAGCCCTTATTTAATTTCCAACATATTAATTAACCTAATTAAGTTTGTTATGGGAGTCTCCTCCACACTCCATATTGCGTTCCTGACTGTACACTCTAGATTTTGGTAAATCCATTTTATCATGATTTTTTAGGAGAATTTATTACGAAGAGTTAAGATAGGGAATTTCGACCCATAAGCTGGAAAAAAGAAATTCCAAAAAAAAAAGAGAGAATTTTTTCTTTTAACGGGTGGAAGCTCATTTTCGTTTCCACTTCCTCGATCCCCAATGGCGGCCGGCCGTAACATCATCAGTCGGGGGCCTCGGGGCGGCGTCTCTTTCGTAGCTTCCGGTGAACACCGATCATTCCCTCCGAGTATTCAACACAGAATGTACTCATTCGGGAACAAATAAAGTAAAACTTTCAAATCAGATTCATGTTTGACATCATTCATTTATGCTTTGATTAGATTCGTTAAATCTTTCGACTTACAATTCAACGAGGGATTAGCTAGCTAATCACTGTTACACAGTAAACTTCCTGTAATTATGCAAAAAATAATTAAACAAATTGAGTTTACAGTAGTTTCTAATTAACTAGTACTCTCTCCATTTTTTATTATATGTCGTTTTAGAGTTTAGTGAATTTTTTTTAAATATACGTCGTTTTCACAAATTAAGACACATTTGATTATTATTTTTTTTCCCAACATTATCCTTGTATTGAAAATAAAATAGTATTAATAATAATTTTTTTATTGGTTTATGATGAATAGTATAGACTATAAATGAGAGTATTTTTGTATTTTAATTATATTATTTAATATTTTCTTGATTTTGATGAATTCTCTAGGAAGACATATAAAAAAGAAAGAAAGGAGGGAGTGTATGCTAGAATCACAGTATGATTATATATATTTGGTGTGAGTAGGAGAAGCAAAGCTAGAATTAATGCATAAGTAGTTTCAAGCGGCAGGTCACGAAACTCTATAATTTTTTTTCCTTTTTTTGGTACAAACGAAACCCTATAAAATTGAGCTGAGGTAGTGGACTTGTTGACCAAAAATTTGGCTACTGCATTGGTAAAAAAATATTATTTTAGAGATTATTAATTTATCGATTATTTAATTAATTTTTTAAATTAATTTATGGATGTCAGTTATGTGCATGGGACTATTTCAGTTGCGTGAATATAGAATAAGAATTTAAAAGCTTGCATAGAGTTGGTCTAGAAAAAAAATGAAAAGAAAAAAAAAATCATTCCAACTCCAACCCATAAAGAAAATTATTTATGTTCTGATATAATAAGATGTTCGTTCTAATGAATCAATTTTAAGTAGATTTCCAAAGTAAATTTTTACGGCGGTCACATTTATCACATATATCTTTTTATTACAGCAAACAAGATAACTATATTGAACTTATCTATCTGCTACATGTTGGTGAAAGCAACATTTAGCCAGGTGGCTTCACGAATAGAATCTTTCTTAAAGAAGACAGGCATTCTGAATTGGGAAGTGAATTCAATCGTTGGTACTATTATTCACTTCTATTTTCAGTAAAAAGAAGTGTTCCATAACTTTCCTACTTCAGTTCTTTCTATGATTCTATCCTCTTCCTCTTTTTAGCTTTCTGCCTTCTAATTATGGAAGTTAAAACATAACGACTATTATTACCTATAAATAGAAGATAAAATGACTCAGATCACCGCATGATCAAATCAATCAACCCTATTTAGCCAAAACCAAAACAAAATCAAAATACCTACAAACACTTTGTCCAGATGACAAAGGTATTAGAAAATCTTAAATATGAAGCGAGTTCAAATCTGGACATAAATATACAGAAACGCCCGACTCAGATTTTGGATTAATCAGAGCAATAATGTGTATGATTTTCTTCCTCCTTTTCCTCTCCACATCTGATTGCCGCTCTAAACCCTAAAATTAATTTAACGCGTGCCTGCCAATGTATGTCTACAAGGCCATGTTAAAGATTTGCAATACTTAGATCATTATTTACTAATATTAAACAAAAAGAAGTTCGAAATTAATTTCATTTTTATGGGGGGCAGGTTAATAAATCTTAATTATTTTCTATTTTCCTTTTTTGGCTGCATCATGCATGGGGGTATATACCGCAAGAAACAAATGACTTTTGATGAAGTCAAGGGCCAGAATTTCCACATTGTTTCACTCTTAGCTGTTTGAGGCTACTTCCTTAAAAGGCTCAAATTGGATGGTGAAGAATTAAGCGGATAGGCAATTTCGTCAAACACCTTTTCGTTTGTTATCATCCAGGCAAGCATGAAGCACACCTCGCGAAGCTCCTGTCTTTTTCCTCTTATAATGGTGATGATGAAACAATACATTTGTTAGTGGTAACTGGTAGGGAAAATCTTTTTTCCACCCTTAGAAAAACAAGAAAATCATGTTTAGTTGACCTGAAGTAGTAATGGGATTAATGAAGATTGTAAGCTTCAATATAAAACCCCGACTCGTAACTTCGTAAGAACTTACATAGCAATTATGTCATTGCTTCATCTCAACTCTTCCAAATTATTCTGTTAAATTAGAGGAGAAGGAATTGGCAGGCGCAAACCGATGTCAACAAAGAATTACGAGTTGGAAGAGAATTATACATAATCACGACTCCGAAGTCTCCATTCTCTAGGGTTTATTCTCATCAGCTCAGAGAATGAATGGTTACTTTACTTGATTGATGAGTTTTAGTAGTTATACATAAACGAGGTTGTTCTGATTTGCTAACTAATTCACATTATATACTTAATTAGAACATTTTTTAAATGAACAATACTTAGCTTGGCCAATATTTTGTTTGTTATGTTACTAACCAAAAGAATGCTCACTACTTTTCCTCCTCCAAAATTAGAATACAGTCATATTCAAATGTATCCCGTTAGGGCGGGAGGATTGGGTGAAATAGTTAAAAGTGTAGGATCGGAGATAGTTATTATCACAAGATGAAAGTTCAATTCTCGCTAAATTAATCTAATTTTTTTAACAAAAGTTTTTCCTTATTAAATTCTTTTCACATCATTTTTTGAAAAGTAACCTTGGAACCCACTTTTTTTTTTTTTTTTTCTAAGCGGGAAAGAAAAATATTTTGGGTCCAAAAGAAATTGCCCGGAGAAAGATAAAACAAGTGTACATAGCTAAGAGACAAGAAATTAAATGAGAAAAAAAGGAGCACATAGTTCTGGAAAGATCAGAGTCGAGTGATCGAGGGAGTGAAGTGGTGGACATTTTTAGTTACAAGTTGAAAGAGAGAGAGAGAAAATTGAATAGTGAGTGCACCTGAGAAATGGACGGCAAGTTATGAAAGTTACATCAACATATCAACTTTCTTATCTTCATATTGGACCCAACCCTAAAAGTTGTGTAATTATATATTTTTTAATTACACAGTACAAATTACAGAAAATAGAGACGTTCAATTATATGGAGAAAGAGATTCCTAACCGGAGAGATGTAAGTTATTGTCGCAGAACAATTAAACCCTCAATTTATTTAGGTTAGAGTTTGTCGTCGTCGATGATAAATCCTAGATTCTATATGAAGAAGGAGATTGTTGACTAGACTTTTAGTTTAGTTTACTAAGGATGATATTTATACTTGATAAGCTTAGAAATTTTATAAAGACGAATATGCTTAATTTTGAGAAATTTTTGTAGGAATGAACAAGGTTTTGCTGTTATCGCTATGAACTCTCCAAGTATAAATGGGACGTGAACATGATGGTAAATCTTGAGTCTATTGAGAAGCAAGCGCTAGGGCTTTGGTAAGACATCTGTGCAGCTGTTGATTTGTTCTTCCAAAACATCTCTATCTCTTTCATCTCAAAAAAATTGTCTAGTTTCCGTACTAGTCTTAAGAATATAACAAAATAACACAATTATTTTCAGATATTGAAAATAAATAATTTGTAAATTTTTTGAAAATAAATAAGGTTAAAAAATCCTTATTCATAGATTTACATAATTATTTGGTCTTGAAATGATTGTCTAATTAATTTTCTTTAAATTTTAGCATATAATTTATCTCGAAATAATTGTTGTACTAAAAGAGAAAAATCAAATTCAATAATCATTTCAGGATGAAATAAGTTACATATTTAATAAAATATTCCAATTGACACATAAAAAATGATACTTCTTCCTTTCTTTTTTCTTTTTTTTTCCCATCGAGTAATGATTGTTGAAGCAAAAATTTACGAGTAACGTATACAGGGAATGAATGAATCATCAACGTCCATAGTTAAAAATTTAACTTTATACATTTATGTTAGGGGATAATTAAAATTCGGCCACATCATTTCATGTTAAACATTCACTGTAAATTTACCCTACACGTATGATTACTCTTTTTTTTTTTTAGAGTAGTGATATAGACAGTGAGAAAAAATAGTGAAAATATATGTAACTGATGCGTCAATAGTAATTAAGGGTAAAATGGTAATTTTAAGGGAAAAGAAAAAATTTCAACGGCAAAATGACAATAAAATAGAGAATACACATCAGTTACTATATTTTCTCACTATATTATTTCATTAAGAAGATCATTTTCCTTTTTTTTATTATACTTCTTCCCATCTCAAAATTTTTTTTCGACTAAAAAATAAACTGTGAGTTGAACATAGTTAATAGCGAAATCAAATCAATATAATGGCTTCCATCATATGTGCAATTTTGTTCCCTATCAACGCCCATCACCTAAACTTCTTACGCCAGCACACACGGACGGCCGAGATCAAATCCCACAACATAAATAAACACCCACCATCTCAAAGTGGGCTAGTATAAATATCAATGGTGATCCGCCACAAGTTCCCCACACAAACAAAGCAAAAAAAAGCAAGTGATCATTTAGCAAAAGAAGAAGAAGAAGAAGAAAAATCCCCCTCCAAACAAAAAAAAAAGCTAAAAAATAAAAATGGCGGTACAGGGAGAAGAAACCAGAAAAGGGCCATGGACAGAACAGGAAGATGTTCAACTGGTGTTGTGTGTGAACGTGTATGGTGACCGGAGATGGGATTTCATCGCGAAGGTTTCAGGTTTGAAGGTTCTGGAGGGAGACAAAAAATATACCTAAATAGGTATGCTTGTTTGGGCATGGCATCCCTCTTTGCAACGAGCATTAAAAAGCTTAACCATCATTTTTTCTTTCTTTTTCTCTTTTGGATATTTTGTTTCTCAGGTTTGAAAAGAACAGGTAAAAGTTGCAGGTTACGTTGGGTTAATTACCTGCATCCTGGTTTGAAACGAGGCAAGATGACTCCCCATGAAGAACGCCTCGTTCTTGAGCTCCATAACAAATGGGGCAATAGGTCTGTGATTATTCGATTTGATTGGATTTTTCATTTTTTTTCATTGCTAGACACTGTTTTTATATTGGTTGGGGAATTTCGTCGAACAGGTGGTCTAGAATTGCTCGGAAGCTACCTGGGAGGACGGATAACGAGATCAAGAATTACTGGAGGACCCATATGAGGAAGAAGGCTCAGGAGAAGAAGAAAGGCGGAGCTGCTGCTGCCGCCGTCGGCGGTGTTTCGCCTTCTACCTCCACAACTTCCTCTACTTCCTCCGGCACTTCATCCTCCTCTGCTTCATCTTCCTCTGCATATTCCAACTGTTCTTCCTCTGTTTCCAACGGAAACAGCAGCCCGCCGCCGCCTGCGGCGTCGGTTCCGATGGCCGGGAAAAAAGACCGGAGTTTCTACGACACCGGCGGGTTGGTTTCTGGAAAGGTGGGAGGAAACAACAAGGCAGAGGAGCTGCAAGAGAAATCTTCCTCCCAGAAAGCGGTTTCTTCTGCTTTATCAGTGGATGAAATATGGAAAGATATGGACTTTTTCGGTGGAGATGATCCTATAATCAAGCCTGTGTTGTATGATGAATTTGCCTGCAATTTCCCAAGTCAACCAGTAATGGCGGATTCCTCCCCTGTTTGGGATTATTTCCCTGTTTCCTTGTGGAACATGGATGATGAAGAAGACATGATCAGTAAGAAGTTCCCTCCTCCTCCTTCAGCTACAAGTGATCAATTTCATTCTTTTTACAACCAACAAGAGATGATGATGATGAGCACCCCTTTCTAACCGGCTAAGACAGAAATTAGATGTTAAAAAATTATTCACTAGGGGAAGAAGTTTTAAAATGGTTTGCTGCTTCTCTGTTAATATTTTACTAGTTTCAGCTGGTCTGTGGAACTTATATGCAGGTCTAACTCTTTGTATCTTGTATAGTTTGTGAGAAAAGATGTCCTCTTTTGTTATGGGTTCAGTTACTTCAATTTCATGGTGTTGTCAGGTTTTGATCAGGAAAGAAAGAACCATACTTTTTTGGTCATCAGTGTCTGCTAGGTTGATAAGGGTTTGTGTTATGATTATGATTATTATTATTATTCCACTATGTACCAAAATTATTGAGGGATCAGGACCACCATGATAACAAGAAAAAAAAAAAAAAAAGCTCCAAATTTGGAGGGTGGGAATAATCCATATCCTGATTCCCACCTTGATGGATGCAATGTTGCAACAAAAAATTCAAACTTTATTATAGAGTCTGTTCTTGAAATTTTGGCACTTTGTTTTTTTATGAATGTTGAAAACATGTGACTTTGTTTTCTTGTGCTCTTTTTCCCATTCTTAGTCTGTATGTATCTACAGAATGAAGATCATTCAATCTTTGCAAAATCTTACCTTCCCCGGGAAAAACCCCCGAAGATCGATACAAGAACATTCACGATCTTTTCGACCTTTTAACAATCAGGATATTCTTGATTTAGCCCAATCAGAAGGATTGCCCAAACAGGGTCATCACCAAATTTGTTGGTTTCTAAATTGCAGCTCCCTTTTTATGATTTTGTTTCTGGGTGTCCGAAAAGCAGATTGTTAACCGACATCAATCGCAGTCCCATTGCAAGATAGTTTTAAGGCCTTGATATGAGTATGACTAGATGATCACCTCAAGTAATCTTCATTTCTATATTTGCCAATAGATATTATGAAGAGATCAAATTGGTTAAAAAGTGGCTCTATCTGTAGTATGCAACTTTATGAGAAGCAAATGGGGCTCTTTCTGCCATTCAGAATCACGGCATTCTTATCTTTGGAGGCTTAAAAAAATGTCCTGCTTTGCTGTGTGCTTATGGATTCTCAGTGAAGAAACCAAATCCAAGACGACCACGTAGCTGAAACCACTGTCGCAGAATACACATCAGAATCCAGGATTGAAAATTGTGGGTTCCATATTCTGTCTCTATATCTGTTATTATTATATTGAGCATGATGATGGGGTACTTTAAACAACAATTCATTATTTCACTTCATTCTCGTCAAAAGAAGTTCTCCTCCCATTTAACCAGTCTACTTTGTTGAACTATATAATCCTCGTTCTACAAAAATAACTTACATTGAGTTTTGATATTAGTTTTATTTAGGACAAAAGGGTACGTTAAAATGAGATTGTGAGAATATTTAAATAAGTGGCTTATCTTGTTGTAATAATTGTGACGGGGATTAAAAAAATGAAGGGCGGTAGGAAATTAGTATAAAGGGACACTTTATGCTCTATTTTTTATGGTTTAATTATTAGTTAGCTACTGTGAAGATGGTCGACTTACGTGAGGTTTATATGACAGGAATCATCATTTAACGGAATTGCAGAAGTCATCTTGCAAAGATTATTTTGTGGTCTGAGATTCTGGGGAGGCTAGATGAAAGGTAGTCAAGATTCGTGATTTTGACTATGGTACCTTGTGAGATTCGAAGTCTCCAATCCAATGGTGTTTCAATCTCATCATAGCATATGTTTTTAATTTCTTCATTTAATTGGACAATATGAGTACAAAAACTAATTTTTCTTTTTCATATTATCGAGTGTCCGTCGTCAACAACAGCGATTAATCCCCTCACTCGTACTACACAAACTACTTTAAACCTAGAGGAACTCCTACAATCAGGCTAATGACGTTAGTGGTAGAAATGAGGTTCTTCCTTTGTGCACACGAATCACTAAGATAACAAACAAAAATAAAAATTGGATGTCGGGAATTCGTCTAACTCTAGAAATTGAATTAACCAATATAGGTGTAGCTACCATTAACTTTTGTTTATTTTTTTAAATTAAGAGAAAACAAATAAATCAGTACAAAAAGGCAATCAATCTTTTTAATTATTAGTGATCATAAAGATAGGTATTCAATGTAAAATCTAGCGAAAAAAAGTGTTCATTATTTTTCAAGAATCCACCGATAAAGGCAATGGACGGAGAAAATAAACAAGATGGATGGGATGAGAAGCAAGCAGTCCACTCAGCAATCAGTCAAAGTTCCACCAAAACTTTGCAATTGGTTTATCACTAGATTTTTTTCATCCAAGGCCACCACATTTAAAACTTTGCAATTGGTTTATCACTAGATCTTTTTCATCCAAGGCCACCACATTTATTTTAGCTCGAAGAGACATTTATTTGATCTTCATCTCGACCATTTCCTGAAAACATTTTATATTTATCTTCTTTTCTGCCCCTTCGATGTTTCATTATTAGTAACTCGTCTTAAACCATGTGTTTTATCTTGTTAACTTAAAATAATAATATAGTCAACTGAATTATTTTTTTGATTGAAAATAGTGTGTAATACTACTCCATCTGTTTCCAAAAAAAAAAAAGTCCACATCGAGTTTCAATTTTAGTACTATTTTTAGTACAAATTTGAAAACCCAACAAGGATTATTTTTTTGAGACAAAAATAAAATGTCGAAGGAAAAGAAAAATGCTTGGACACACTTATAAAGAAGAAGTTTATAATGTTTGAGTTTAGTACATAGTCTGTCTGAGACCTATTTATAAAACACACAGTTAAATTTTTAATTATACCACATAAATCTGACCAGAATTTAAATTTACTTTGGACTTCATATACTAAAGGTTTGATTGTTAGATCTCAAAGATTCATAATTGTTCGCCATTTTTTTTTTCCTAGAAACATTTAAAGAAATAATGGGGGAAAAAAGTTATTAAGAAATGACTTTGACGAAAAGGGATGACAAATCGAATGAAATGTTTAAGTTGAGGGGCTATTTCCAAAATATAAGAGAATAAAGATACTGTTGTCGTGTCGTCGTTTCCACGCTGTCGAAGAATCTGAACCAGTAAGTCAGTCTCCAATGTCTACGCTACTCAAACTGTATCTCTTCGCCTACAATGCCGTTCAAGCCATCGGATGGTATTTCCAATTTCTCTATCACACACTCACACACTCACACATTTGATTCTTAGCATTTTGTTCAAGTCTCTCTGTTTGCTGGTTAATTCTGCAGGGCACTCTCTCTGTTCAGAATTTTGAGTAATTCCTTCTCAACTCACTCCGTCAGCGGCGCTTATGCTTCCGCCGGTGAATTAATCTGTAAGAGAATTCACTCTTCAAACCATACATTTTTGTTCCCCTCCCTCATTTTTTTTTATTGCATTTGCTGAATGATCGTTTTTTGGGATATTGTGAAAGGTTTCTTGCAATCTCTTGCCTTCTTGGAAGTTGTACATGGAGCTATAGGTAAAAATTGCTGTACAAGATCGTGTTTTGCATTGATTATTATGTCATTTAGAAATGATCAAATTAGGATTCAATTTTTGTTTATGTTTGGGATTTTGTATTTCAAAGGGATTGTTCCTAGTGGAGTACTGTTTCCTCTGATGCAATGGGGTGGGAGGACTCATTTTCTGTTAGCCATTGTACGACGTATTCATGAGGTAAGAATCTTAAGATGTACTACCAAGTACTTATGATGTTCGCTTATTACTGTTAGTAAGTTAGTGAAGTTAGAATCTTTGAATAATATGTTGATGAGAGGACCTAAATATTCTGAAATTAAGTAATAGAATGTGATAGCAAAGAAGAAAGTTGCTTGCTTTGTAAAGTGGTTTCATTTGGGCTCCATGTTATTTGAGGACTAGGGAGCACATAGGGAAATGATTTTGATGATAAATTGCTTTATTATTCTTCTTCTTTTTGTAGGTCCAAGAACTACCATCAGTCTTCATAACTTTTGTTGCTTGGAGCTTATCTGAGGTAAGATAGTTACTGTGTTACTTCGTGATACATTCCTATGTCATATCTTTCCGAGTTTAAATTTGTTGAATTCTGTCTGTATTCAAAAGTTAGATATTGCTACATTAACTTTGTGGAAAACTTTTTCAGCAAATAAGGCATCACTAGATCAACTAATTTATTGATTACTTTCCGTCTTGAATCTGTGATAGTTTACTGGAATCTAGCCTTAATCTAGGTGCTCAATTATTCTGTGATCATCATTTATTATGATCTATTGATCTATCTTTGGAAGCGTTCTAATGTTTGAAGTTTCTCTGTCCCTTGATGAATGCACTTTGCATCAGTCTTTATAATTTCCATAATGCCTCTTCTCATTTCCATGTTCCTTTGTTGTGTTTGATCTTCTGTTCGAGCTTTAGCAATTTGTCTCTGGTTGCAGGTGATCAGATATTCGCACTATGCAGTTAACTGCTTTGGCCACCCGCCATATTGGATCACTTATCTCAGGTTCCCACCTTCTGAAACTTGATCAATATTATGTGGAAACAGAATAGATTAATAAAAATGCTGAGAATTCTAATGAGAGAAGTTGACAATTTAACTTGCATGCATTATTTTTCTAACCAGGTACACCGCGTTCATCATTTTGTATCCCATAGGAGTTGCTCCTGGAGAAAGTAAGCGAATGAATTTGATCAACATTTTGATTAGCTTTACGTGTTTTACATGTTGATAATTTTCTTCATATCCACCTGCTACATCTCCTCAATTACTTTGTATTCTCAACTTGGCAGTTTGGCTCATGTATCAAGCCCTTCCATTGATCAAGGAAAAGAAGCTATATGCAGATTTCTTTTTTGGCCTTCCTTTTGGCTACTACAGATTTGTTTCGGTACGTACCAAATTTTACATGATCTCAGGGTGTTAGATGGACTCCATAGAGTTTAGTTATTTACATTCTGCATGATCTTCCATGATAGTTTACATGTCCTGTAGCTATTCAGGCTTCATTTTCATTATACATTGCTCCATATATATCTTCTTGCATCATTTCTTTGTTTTGCTATACATGCTCATTGAGTTGCAATTGTTATCAATTTGTTGTACCAGATTCTGCTGATCTTCTATCCATTTTTGTGGCTGAAACTGTACCTGCACATGTTCAAGCAGAGATCATCAAAACTTGGAAAACAACAGAAGAAGAAGAAAAACTGAAAATGTGAATGTTAATGGGCGACTATTGATTCAGTTGTAAGCTCCAGTGTAGAAAAAGAGTAGCTATGTGTAGTGTGTAGATTTAAAGAGAACACTTCTGTTTCCCTTCAATTTCACGTATAAGTCGCTTACTTTCTCATTTGATATAAATTCTTTGGTTCCGTATGAAGTTCATGTCATTCTGCCTAGATTGCAACATTACAATTCAATACTGCAAGTGCTACTTATCTTAGTTCAATAGACAGTATTATTTCAGCATTCTTTCTCTGAATTATTATTAGCTGGTTTTATAAACAATTACATATGAAGTATCCATTTTAGCCCTCCATTTTTGTACTCGTGTACATAGTCTTTATGCACAATAAGTAGAAGCAATTTTATGGTTGTCAAATGCTTGAGGGGGTAAAAGATGTCATGTACATGTAGTTGGTATTGGTAAAAACATGCTCAGTGTCACAGTCGAATATGTTTCAGGTATTACATTGGCTTGTTCGGTATTTACACTTGTGTATACTGATGATGTAAAACTGTGCTACCAGTGCCGTTGCAAAACAAATTATATTAACCTTGGTTAGATGTGGTTACAGTTTCTCTGCAAGAAGACGCATTACTGCCCTGCTCTTGTTCTCAAAGATTGATTGTTGAAAGTTGCAACGTCTGTTCAAACTAGCTAGCTAGCCTTTTTGTGCTGTGCGGCATCAAATGTTAATGATTAGTTTACAGGTTGTATAAATCTACCAACCTTGGATAATTTCTACTTTTAGCCTGTCATCTAACTTTTTCCTGTCTTTTGAAAGTCCTCTTCCTCAACCATGAACTCGTGGTTGAATTGGATGATGTTGGATTCTGGTTATTTTTTCAGTAGATTTGTTTGAGTGAATAACAAATTGTTTTTGGTGAAAAAAAGAAAAAAAAGAGTCCACCATTGATTCCATTGGGTACAAGACATATTCTTCACTGGAATACATTACAAACTGAGAGATTACAAAAGATTTTCCTCCAGGAACAAGTCCCTGAATACACAGATAACATTGAAACAATGACACTGGAAATCTAAAAGCTGTCCACTTCTTCCACCGTGATTGGTGCCTGGAGAAAAATAAAAAGCATTCTTTTCTTAGTAATCCGTGACGGGAAGAGCCTCGTGAGTCTGGTTAATGAAGAAGATCTCGTAGACCAGAGCAGCGATGGCAGCGCCAACGAATGGGCCGAGCCAGTAGACCCAGTGGCCAGTCCATGTCCAGCTGACAACAGCCGGTCCGAAGGATACAGCAGGGTTCATGGATGCACCATCAAAGGCACCACCAGCCAAGATGTTGGCACCAACAATGAAACCAATTGCAATGGGAGCAATGATGCCAATGTCACCCTTCTTCGGGTCAACTGCAGTTGCGTATACTGTGTATACCAGGCCGAATGTCATCACAATTTCGAAAACTAAGGCGTTCCATACTGTCACACCAGATGAAAGGGAGAATGCTGCTGTCTCCTGCATTATTTTTTTAGCAAAAATTCAATGCTGATTAGTACAGTGAGGTATGAAGTTGGATTGAAAACTGACAGAATACAACTACAAATGCCAAAGGCATATAAGGCCTTACCAATCCACCGGTGGAGAACTTGAGAAGCAAACAAGCAACCACGGCGCCAAGCAATTGGGCAATCCAGTACAAGATGCTGCGAACGAATGTAATGTGACCTCCCATGAAGGCACCAAAAGTCACAGCAGGGTTCACATGTCCACCAGAAATGTTAGCGCCAACTGAAATGGCGACGAAAAGCGCAAAGGCGTGGGCAATTGCCGCAGCAACAAGGCCAGCTGGAGTGGTTGCTCCATCATTTGTTAGCTTGCCTGAAGAAAAAAAGTTCAATAAAGTTAAAATGACACCCTTTAAACTTCTCCAGTTCTGCATTGTTATACCATCACCCCCCAAAAATCCGGAATTCTCATTTTTAAATCGTGCATTAGATTAACAGTCAGCGTAAAACTTTGTCACAACTTTTAAAAAAGTGGAATGAAACACTTACTGAAAGCCATTCCAGAGCCTTCACCAGCAAAAACAAAAATGAGCATGGAAATGAACTCAGCTAAAGCTGCCTTAAGGGCATCAGGCTTGCTAGCCTCAGCTGGTGAACCAAATGCAATTTTCGCAATCGGCATTTTCCTTTTTATTTTCCTGACTTTTCGAAAAATCAAAATTCTGTGAGCTCTTCTAAAAACTCTCTAAAAAAAGGCTAAAAGAATGTTCCTAGCTGTTGTATTCTCTCTGTGTTGGATTCAAGCTAGTCTCACTGGAGACTTATATATAGTGAGTGATAGATGATTCTAGTTGCATCCTACCAAAAGAAGAGGGAAAAAAAAAAGAAGGAAAATGATCATTAACCTGAACAGCCGGTAGCCCGTGAAGGGAAGAGCACAAAGTATGCAATACAACAGGGGACTTGTCAACGTCCGTGAGGCGGGCCTCCAAACAAATGTGGTGAAGCCACGTGGAATATGGTATAGGCTGACCAATCATTTTTTGGCTGCCCGACCGACCAAAAGTTGGGCCCGGTCCCGCCAATGATTGTGCATAATTCTCTCGGTTAAACCGACCATTGGGCTAAAAGGCTCAATTTTTGTGGACGAAAGCGACTTTATGGTGTTTTTAGTTATGGCTGTCTGTGAATTGTGATCGTCATTATTATACAGAGTCCAAATTCTAAACCTAAGAATGAAGATGGAACAAGACGATGCTTGAATTTGGGCGGTCTGTGCTATTTGAAATTCATGATTAATTTCTAGTTTCTACCTTAATTCGAGAATTGACCTCACGAGATTTCAACCTTAACGCATAGATTCATCACATTTTCTTAGCTAATCATTCTTTTTTTTCATCTATTCGTATGATGGGAAAAAAAAAAAAAATTATGAACGAATAGCGAGGTTTAATCTCCTAGATAAGTTACGCTGACACATTCAACTACACACTAGAATCAATGTTTCAAATGATATTCTCTTTCGAAATTATTGTCCAGTTTATGTCTTCATTTTAATACAAATAAAATTAAAAATAAAAGTATTAGAGAATTAAATGACAGCCCTAGTGGTTAAGTTATTATCTTTCTTGGTATTAGACCATGATTTGATTCCCACCTGGGATTGTCTTTCCTGTTATTAAACCAGGGTTCGATTCAATGCACAATAGTTTTGAGACAGAATAGTACGACTTTTTAAGTATGCAGTTTATTCAGCTAAAAAACCAATTATTGAACCCAAAATTATAGAGCGGCACGTGAAATTCTAAGCATTTCGGCAAAAGGTACTTCATCTACAAAAATGTGACAATCTTTAGTCCAGAAAATGAAAAAAAAGATTAAAGGAAAAGTGAAAGGTTAGTGGATAAATCGAATTGAATGGGGACCTAATTAATTATTAGTGTCAAGGATATTGGACGGGACCCTATTTGGGGTAGTTGATCATGTTTTGAATTCAACATACACCTTTTCTTCCCTTCCTTAAAACGTCATTAGAGGACAGTAAAGGCTTTCTGTATGAGTGATCACTTATGTTAATTAATCTTTTTTTTTTTTTTTTGTCTTGAAATGGTTTAATCCCTTAACGAATGATGGTAAACTAAAAGAAAAATTTTAATACGATTCGTTACTATGTTGTTAGCAATTTACTGGGTTTGTTGTTGTTGGTTCGTAAATTATAGCTAACTCATACTCGTTATCAAAAATTTATTGCTTCAATCAATACTCAATAGCTAACATGGTCGGTCCTTGGCCGAAAATATTGAACAACAATCAAAATCACATTTTCCATAAAGCCGCAGAACGCGTGATTTTTGTAAGGCATGCAAATGAACAGCGATCTAGATTTCAACAACCCGATCATCAATCCAATCAAGCAAATAAGATGAGTCGACTTACAAAATGTTCAACAACTAATTAAGTCAATCCAATGGCAGGAGATGAAGCATAGAGAAGTTAATCGACATTCGAGGACCATAGTTGTAGAGTATTTAAGTGAATTGCTAAACGTAAATTAATTTTACTTGGTACTTAATCTTTATTCCTATTAATATTGTAATTGTATAGACGTTTTAAATCAAACTAATAAGGGGCTCCTTATAACAACAGGTAATTAGAAAAACCTCTCGAATTTAATCAGAAACTTAATACTACTAGGCTTTGGATTTAAAAGAAAAACAAAGCAAAACAAAAAGAATCAATCCGTATCAAACAAACATATGGTCTATTGATGCACGCCATATTGAGATATCTCTCACGTTCTAGGCTGAGATATTCAATGGAAAATAAACGGTGATCATTGAAAAAATTGTAAAAGTGACAGCCCAAGCGATGTCACTTAATAGAAAACCAGGGCCACAAGTTTCTGTTGGCTTCATGGCTCATGTTACTACTACTACTACTAATTTAACGCCATGATAACATTTTTTTTTTATTTGAATTTCTCACCATAAATTATTGATCTATAAACGAATGGTCCAAAATTCTTTGTCCTTGAATTTGAATTAATCAAACAAGTGCCTAATGAGGTGTTAACTGTGATTAGAATACTTAGTAGGTAGTGAGGAAGATGAAGGACTCGTTGATTATTGCCTTAATTAACTAAAATATTCAAACTAATAAGGTAATCTTTAATCCTAATGTAGTAGGCTAACCACACCAAAAATTCAATATCTCTAGGCACAAAGGTTCCATCATTTTATGTCTCTCTTTATGTCATCACATTACATTTTCTAATACTAATCCACATCAGAAATTATATACAGTCATCTTATCTTCCATGTCCAACTAATGATACCAAAAAAGTCTCTTTTTTTTATTCTCTTAATCAATTTTTAACATTTGTTTATCTTGTCTACTAATTAAAATGGTGTTGGACGGCCACCTCGAATAGCCAGCTCCACCAAGTTCATATGCTATATTTCAAAGTTCAAACAAACAAACATACAACCATCGGTTTCTTCGTACCAAAGGCAATTGTTTTTCATTGTTTTTTTTTTTTATATTAAAAGTGCTTATTATTTATTTAGTTACCATGTCTAAGTTTTCATCAAAGGACCCAAGTCATAATAGTAATACAATAAGTATTTTTCCGTTTTCCAAATTATAAGAAACCAAAACAATAATTTGGTGACATAAATTGTACTATTTCTGTCTCAGAGAAATATTCTAATTTTAAAAATATAAATATTAAAATTGGACTTATAAGATTGGTATAACCTAAAATTGATTACTAAATTTATAAATAGTCATGAAACTTTATTCATTTATTCATATTAATTTTTTAATTTGGAAGATTAAGTTATTTAATTTTTATCTTTTAGTTTTTCAAATTAGACTATTTCTATCGGAAAGTAGTACGTATATTTTATCATTGAATATATGACGTTTAAAATTTCACTATAAGTAGAAAACATGTAACTTTGACTGCAAGATTAATATTTTTATAAGATTGACGAGAGCAAGTAACCCGAAGGTGTCTCGACATCTTCCACTTTACCAGTATTTAAACACAATAACATGACTTTCAAAAGAGTATAGATCGAGTTTAGATTTTTTTGATATTAATTTTTGTGTGATGGTAGGTTTTTTAAAACCTTTTTTACGTTACAGGAAATGTGTATTGGTCGAGTATGATGACATAGGTTTATGAGTTTTTTTTTTTTAAGAAAAAAATGCTAAAACAAATACTAGCTATTTGAGAGTGTGGGGATAATGATAGTTTTGCCATTTTTCTTAAAATATATGTTTACTAGAAATAGAAAGAAAAAGAAAATATAGTGAAAATACATAATTGAATGAGATAACTGCTGATAGTTAATTACAATTTGTAATCAACAGTTGGGGGAGTGATCAGAGTGTGATGGGTTAAGAACCAATCACGTTGCATCTATCCCCTTAATATAAACCCTATTTTTTTCTTTACCCACCACAAAATTCATCCAAATATTCATCAGTTTTGTTTCCTTCTTTCGATTTTCGGTTATCTCTTCTTCAGATCTAATTCTTTTATTTACATTTCATCATCAATGGCTAATAGTAATCGCAATCCTGATCTTTCACCAGCAATGGTTCTACTTCGTTCGGAGCCAGCAGTTTTACCGGGAGGTGATAAAGATGAGTTTCAGCCTTTGCCCGACAACTTTTGTAGGGCCTCCGTTCTGCTCCAGAAAGAGAAAACTACGATGGATTAAATCCTTTATGGACCATGAACGCGAGCTGCTTGGTTACACACGGCACATTGTATTCTCCACCGTCGAGATCCGCACGGCAGCATTGTTGAAGAAGAATCATGAGGCGGCTCTCGAGAAGAATGGTGGTGAGGAATGGAACTTTATGTTTGTGGCTACCAATCCAGATCTAGCCTGGATTGCAAAGCAAAATGGGCTTCGCGTGGTTGTGGCAAGGAATCATCCCTATTATAAGGCTTAGGAGTTTTTGTTTTGGGGAGGGGAGGAGTAAGCACAAGACTTGATATATTTTGATTGTTTTGGATATGTTTATTCTGCGGCAACTTTAAAGGTGTAGTCTAGTTTTTATCTTTTGGTTAGTGTTATCGAGTTTTAATCTTCTGGTTATTTTGGATAATATGTTTATTCTGTTGCAACTTGTAATCATACTTTTGATATATTTGTTTTAATCCTTGCTATAATATAACTGTTTGCTGCTAGAAAAAAAAAGAGATAACTGCTGGTATAATTTATATAAAAGGAAAGTATCACATCTCATTATGTTTTGGCATTAATTCAAAAAAAAAAAAAGCTAAGTAATTAAATTGTCTTCAAAAATTCAATAAATTTAGCTAAGTTTTGATCCAAAAGCGATAAAATATTAGGAAGTGATTTCCTACCACAAGAACTATGATCTAGTCTTGTGTTATAAAGGATGGAAAAATTATTCCATACAACAAGTGTATCTCTTTTTTAGTGCAACAACACACCCATTATATAATAAATAAAATATCATGGCCCTCTAATTTTATGATAACTTTTACGATAAAATTACAACCTTACCCTCTTTATGTGTCTGGCTGTACAATCCTACCTGGTACAATAGTTGTATGAAAGATTTTCTCTAAAGCATGAACCTTAACCTGGTCCTGTGTTTCAAAGAACATGAAATATCAAAACACACCCTTTGTTTTGAAGGAACTAGGCATTTCTATGCCCGCTACCCTAGCTAGCATAATTAATTACAAAATTTCTATTAAGACTTGTTTTATTAAGAATAATTAACTAAATGAGAATTAAAGTGTATAAAATGATTGTGTATTTAATTTCTTTTATCCATTTTTTTGAAATAAATAAATTTTTTTAAAGCAAAAATAATATTATTAATTATGAAAAATAAAATAGGGCAGCGTATGTACTAAACCCTATGCCAAATACAATTTTAAACATGAGCAGAGGTAGTTCCCTTATTTATTCTTGAAGATCGGCGAACCCTAACGTTGGACTTGCTGTTAGTTTTTTTTTTACGATTATGGTGTCATTGTGGCTGAGCAGAAACTTCATTAAAGAAAAACTCTCGTTCCATTGCTAATTCAATGTCGGTTTCATCGTCTTCCGAGCCATTAAAAGCTTGGTATTGTTCACCTTCGGAATTGATGAGATCAGTTGAGAAATTTGTGCTAAAAGACTCTGCATTTTTCTCGACTTTTGTATCATCTTTTAAAAAATATTTCTTGTGCGATTGTTCCGTCGTTGGAGCTAAAAAAAGAAGCAAGACTTGTAATAGCGGGATTTGTGACTAGAGCTGCTGAGGGGAAAGAGAAAATTCCACGGCTTCGGGATTCAATTTCTGAATAGTACTGCTGATAGATTGATTTTGAGGAGACATTCCCACATTAGATGAGGTGAGAGATTGCGTAATAGGTTGAGAGATTTGCTGGATATTATTTTCAATTATATTTTCCGAACTTTCTTCCTTTGACTTCGACAATTCAGGTTTGAATTTTGCGGGGTTATAGGAGTATTAATATTTGAGGGGGCATGTGTTTGGGGAAAGCTTTGAATTTTTTCGGATGAAAGGGGGTTATTTTTGTTGAAGTCTTGGATCTTATAGATGGAAGGGTTTGAAGGCACTGATTGCGCATCTCTTGCACACGCATTAGGCACGGGTTGCGATTTGGAAAGAGGCTGGGAGGTTAGCGTGAAATCTGGGATGGATTGGATTGGAGGTTGCGATTTGGAGAAAAAATGCTGAACTAGAGAGGGGTCCGGAATGGATTGAATTGGAGGCTGCGATTTCGGCGGTGATTGTGCTGGAGCAGGACTCGGTCGTGACTGCGAGATTTGAGGAATCTCGTTTCCTCCGGTGGTTGCCGAAGACTTCCTCCGATCATCCTCCGTTGTAGAATGAAGATTCGCTACAGCCGATGAAGTATCTTCTTCTGCAATCGTCGGTTGAGCGATGATTAATGGAAGGTTCACGCCATTATTCTCCTCCGCGCTTTGCTTATTACACGACTTATTTTTGTTGACTTGTTGAGACTCCAAGCCTTTTTCTCCCACTGATAACTCCAAGATTGGTTGCTCTAGAGCTTCAGATGTTGGCACCGGTTGCTTTGATTGTTGTTTTGTGGGATGGAGAGTATTTCTCTTCGGCTGAGTTATAGCATCCTTGTTATGTCGGCATGAGTTGAGATTATGGTCAGTTTTTTTTTTTTTTGCAATCCACACAATATTGGAGCATGTTCTCATAGAGAATTGATTGAAAATAGGATTTTCCTTCTACCCCCAATCGAACTCGGAGGGGGTGATCCTTAAGCAAATCGAGTTCAACACAAACCCGTGCTATTGAAGGACGTGACATGTTGAGGGTCGAGACATCTATTCGAAGAGGCTTTCCGATGATAGTAGCAAGCTTCCATAGATATTCCTTGTTGAAGCGGTGAATGGGGAGACCTTCAAAAGAGATCCAAATTGGAACAATGGAGTATCCATTTGTATTCTTAAAATGAGTCAACTAATAAAGATGTTGAAAACAAAAAAACTTTAATAATGAGTAAAACATTATACTACAGATCTAGGTAAAAGAGGGTGTTTTTCCCCCTAATGTTTTATATCCTTGTTATTGGCAAATCATAAAAATAAAAGTTTTGTTTCCAACATAAGGTCCACTCTTATTTTGTTTTATAAAACTCAAAAGTTCTATGTTATTTATTACAGAATGATAAAATTATTTCATAAATATTCCATTGAAATTAAAAAAGAAAGACAAAGGTACTTTCATACCCACGCAGCAATGGTAAAAGAAGTACTCATACTCCCATGCTTGTCATATTAGTAGAACTAATTAATGCAACATTTGCAAGCTAAACCAATTGGATTTGAACATTTTTTTATTGTTATTTGTAAGAGCCCATGTTTGAGCAGAAATATTTGTTCACAGTTTCCAAGCAACCATACATAAAATAAACACGTGACATTTGTAGTAGTAACCTAAACTGTAAAAGGAAAAAGACTGTAAAAATTGTGAAGTGTGTTACCATACATAAAATAAACACGTGACATTTGTAGTAGTAACCTAAACTGTAAAAGGAAAAAGACTGTAAAAATTGTGAAGTGTGTTGATGACAATGAACGAAAGCTCACTGTAGGGAATGGAAATTATGCCTGGTAAAACTCACGAAAACCAGTATTGTATTGGTGAATAAGATCTTAGGTGGTGCCTGGTTCACCAATAGAATGGATGGGAATGGAATGGATTGAATCAAAATGGGATTGAATCAATATGCTTGGTTAGAATTTTATTTGTGATGGGATTCAGTCAAAATTCCAATTTTGTCCATGGTCAAAATAACCCCAAAATAATTCCTGCTCAAAAGCAATTCTCTCGCAGAATCAAGCTTTCAAGTTTCAACTGGTAATTGATGACAATGATTTAAAAAGCTAATGAACAACGGACATTGATGAAAAATATCCAACTAATAAATTATATTTAGGAGAATAACATCTGAACAGAGATGGAGGGAGAGAAATGGAGGCAGATGAGACTTGGGAGATTTACCTCTAATGAGTGTGGAATTGGAGATATGGTTTTTTTAAAGAAGTTATATGCTTTTTTTGGCCTGGGAAATGGTGGAGTTGTGAGTGTGAGAGGTTTTGGTGGAGGAGATGGCCGATGGAGGGGGTGAAAAACGGTAGTGGTTGTGGTTAGATGTAGAAAAGGAAGAGGACAAAAAAATGAAGAATGGACGAGGGGTAAAATGTTGGGAAAAAAAAAAGTTGAAATTCATACCCACCGAATGTGTTAGGAATGAATATGTGGGAATGAAATCCTTTTTAGTGGGCCACCTGGGTTTGATAGAAATGAAACACACATGTTAAATGAATAGGAAACCCATAGAAAAGATTTTACACCCTCGAAACAGTCACCCGCTTAATATGTCGGTAAAACTCTAAACAAATCTTATAGAGGTCCATTTGGAAAATTGGACGACGAGGATTATAAAAATCATGCAAACCATAAAAAAGTATGCAAAATTTGTTAAAATTATTTCATCTATTCTAAAACATATTTCAAATTTAATTTTGAGATTTGGTACAGAGAGAATATTTCTTTATTAAGCAATTTAAGAAATGTGGTTTTAAGTAGATACAATATATCTTGACCAAACCAATCAGCAAGTTTGAAGACTAGAGTAGGAAAATGAGATCCTAAAATCGTGCATGTTAAAGCACCTTAAATTCTCTTCTCAAACTAATATATTAATGTCAGTCCTTCACCGGCAAATTAACTCAAATGAACAAACCATTCTTACAGACATTATATATCTAAATAAGATAGCTGGTTTTTGTTTCAGATTTTTTTTTAAAAATAATTATGCTAAAAGAAACTAAAAAGTTACTGTTGTAGTCAAAATTTGCAAGAATATTTAGAGTTCACAGCGATGATAATTTAAGAGAGAATAACGCCCAAAACTTATAATTGAACTGACGAGTTTTACGGTTTAAAACCGCCGGTTAGAACCGTTAATTAGCGGTTTTAAAAATAACAAAACTATAATAAACCACAAATACAAGGTTCAATTATGGTTTTAGAACCTTTAAAAGCGATTCAAAAACCAGAACCTTATTTTCTAGTTCGGTTTTGATTAAAACCGGAACCGTAGCCATCTTATTGTTGGATTATATTGTCAACACTTTGTAATAAGCTAAAATATTAGGCATGTGCTTGCTTTATTATACCAAAAAAAAAAAGAAAAAGAAAAAGAAGTTAGCTAAATATATTGAATTTGTGAGGACCATTGTTAACTTACTTAGCTTTTTCTTCTTTTTTTTGAATTAATGCCAAAACATAATAAGAGGTGATAATGTCCTTTTACATAAATCATAAAGTCCATTATATATTTTCAGTATCTTTTCTTTTCTTTTTATTACTTGTAAACCTATATTCTAAGAAGAATGCCAAACTATCAAAATCCCCAC